TTTGCATCACATGAATAAATTGTATTTTAAAATATATTCAAATAGAAAACAGTTATTTTAAATTGCAATAATATTTGACAATATTATAGTTTTTACTGTTTTTTTATCAAATACATGAAGCCTTAGTGAGCATTAGAGACAATAAAAAAAATTTTTACCAACCCCAAATTTTTGAACGGTACGTCTTTTTAATTTCTAAAATAGCAATAAATCTTATTCTATTGCATTTTAAATTTTGAAAATAGAATGTACTTCAAGTTTTATAAGATATAAATTAAGTTTTATAATCTTCTCATATGAATTTATTTTGTTTTAAGGATTTTTTAAATATTTCTTTTGGAAACCAAGACAAAAAAAACCAACAGTAATTAATAAAATATAATTAATTATTATTTTTATTTATTTATTTGTTTGTTTGTAGTGAAACAGTTTTCCTGGGATGTTAGTAAGACGGTTGCCAAACAGACTAACTCCAAAAAGTTTTAAAATCCATGTAAATCTCTTCTTTGTTTTTTCTTCCAGATCCCTCAGATCAGCTACGCCTCCACAGCACCAGAGCTGAGCGACAATAACCGCTACGACTTCTTCTCTCGAGTGGTACCACCAGACTCCTACCAGGCACAAGCTATGGTGGACATTGTGAAGGCGCTGGGCTGGAACTATGTGTCCACATTAGCGTCAGAGGGGAATTATGGTGAAAGTGGAGTAGATGCCTTCGTTCAGATCTCTCGAGAGGCAGGTATAGTATCCGTACATTTCATCAGACTTTGCATTCTGTTCGCTTATAGTCTATGGATGTAAAACACACTGAAGCATATAGAATGATCCAGATTGGGCTTTTCATTAATATGCTATATTTCAAAAAGTTACAAAGAGGAGCATGACAGAGACAGCTGCATGCATTTGTACCCATCTGCTGCCAGAAATTCATGGCGGTCATTAATATAAATAGAAAGTGAGTCACATTTTAGGAGAGAAAAATTTCAGCATCGGTGTCCATCTCTCTCTCTCTCTGTGACAAAGGAGGTCTGTGCATCGCTCAGTCCTTGAAGATCCCACGAGAGCCCAAACTAGGAGAGTTTGACAAGATCATTAAGAGACTAATGGAGACCCCCAACGCTCGAGGAGTCATCATTTTCGCCCATGAGGATGACATCAAGTAAGTGAATGATATGCTTAATGTATGTTTGATCAGCAAGGCCTTTTAAGCCTTATAACATTTTGGGTTAAATACAACTTTAATGCAGCATCTGCTGCATGCTGTTGATTACATTTGAACACCTTGTGCAAATTTATGGAGGCATAAATGAGTGTTAAAGTATTTTATTTTAACTCTCTACAACACAGCTCTTGCCATGAGGATTGCCTGCTGACATGGCATTAAAATCTCAAGTCGCTTGGGTATATTTTTAGCAATAGGCAAAAAAACATTGTATGGGTCAAAATGATAAATTTTTCTTTTATGCCAAAAATCATTAGGATATTAAGTAAAGATCGTGTTCCATGAAGATATTTTGGAAATTTCCTACCGTAAAAATATATCAAAGCTTAATTTTTGATTAGCAATATGCATTGCTAAGAACTTCATTTGGACAACTTTAAAGCTGATTTTCTCAGTATTTAGATTTTTTTGTACCCTCAGATTCCAGATTTTCAAATAGTTGTATCTCGGCCAAATATTGTCCTATCCTAACAAACCACACATCAATGGAAAGCTTATTTATTCAGCTTTCAGATGAGGTATAAATCTCAATTTCGAAAAATTTACACTTATGACTGGTTTTGTGGTCCAGGGTCACAAATACTTACCTGTTGTTTGACACAAAAAAAGTATTTTACAAGTGTAATTATTTAAATGAATAATTTAAACATGTTGAAATAGTGTAAATCTGCTGATTTAATTTTTGCACTTTTTGCATTGGTTTTGATAGAAAACTGGGGTATTCCATGGAATTAAATCATCATCAAATTAGCCAAAACATTTTACAAATGAACATGCATCATTCTCAGAATGAACATTTTGTGTACTTACTGAAGAATTCATGTGAATTCAAGTGCTTCATGTTTCTGCTTTTAAACTTTCAGCTAGCAGAGTTTGTCTACTAGAATGAAATTGTAATTACATGAATGCACATGCATTTATTATTATTATAATTTTTTTTTTACAACCGAGGAATGTCAACTTGAAGCAACGTTAACAACCCATTGGACTTCATTAATGTACGTTTTCACTGTTTGACAGGATGTTGGAGGAAAGGTGTTAACAAATTAGAAAAACGGATGATTTCAGCTGAAAAAAAAGTTGTTTCAGAGGCAGATTTTGATGAAAGATTAAGAAGACAAAAATGTTTTCCCCCTAAAATAACGTGCACTAATGATTTGCTTACACTAAGAAGTGTTAAGGCAGAGAGGGTCAATTTTGATTTCGTTTTTCATTAAAAATGCACATGGGTTCTTTAGAACTCGCCTTCAGTAAATTTTTAAGGCAACGTGATGCTTAAACTGAGGTGCTACAGCAATCTGTCACAACACATTAAAGAGACACAAAATGGTATTTCACAAGTTCACACTTACATGTAATAAATAGAGTAAAGGTTATGTGTATTTGACGTGCTGTCTGAGGCGAGGGCTCCGAGCTCGGAATTTGCTCCGAACCCAGAGTACCCTCAGTTGACATAGGAATAGTTAGAAGTGAGGAGATGGGGTGGTGGAGGGATGCTAGAAAACTGTCAAGGAACAGAAGTTTGCTGTGTATATATACCTCTTAACTTGTTAATTGGGTTGATTACTGAATGAGCTCCTCTAGTGTTAATTATCTGAATGTGCTGCTTCTGAACTTTGTTAATAAAATGTAATTTATTGTTTGAACAAAATTTGCTCTTTCTTGTCTGTCGGCGTGTTGTCAGTGTCCTCTTTGCTCCGTGATGTATTTTTCACTGCGTGAGAACATGAGGTGTGGCGTGAGAGTGCCATGGCTTGTCTGTCATAGCAACAATAACTAAGGGGGAGTGGGTCTTTGCAAAGGGTCAATTACATGATCACAGACACATTGATTAGCAGACACATTGCAAGTGCATCGTCCTGATACACAAACAGAAACCAATCACAGTAGGTGGCGATAGAGTGTTCTTCAAATGTGTGTGCCATTCAAGTGTTGTTTTTCAGGTGAGATTCTCTTCAAACTGTGAGACTGTTATAACAGTAATTGACTCAATAGACATCTGACCCAGGGATGTGCACGTTTTGAGGGGCAGGGGCTCGAGTGGAAAAAAGGGCACCTCTCATATTTATTAGAAATTTTTCCTAAACAAAACGTTAAATATATTAGGGGTGTGCGATATTGACAGAAAATATATCTAGATATTTTCTGGGATTTTATCGATAACGATATATAGACAACATTTTGCTGAGTGTGTTATTGTGCTGATATCTGATAAGGATAAGATTGGTAAGGACTACTGTGGACCGCTGACTCCTAAAGTTTTTGATATTCTGCATATTCTGTGCGGTGATCAGTCTACAATATTTTCCAATAAGTTCAAATTGATTCTTACCTTTTATGGGCATTTTTTAATTTATAAAGCCATTTATTTTCTAAAAGTGTGCATCATCTTTTCAGTCAAATTCTTAACTTGAATCAGTCAATTAATATTATAATAATTTGGGTTTTTATCAAGCAGATGAAATCAGTATTGACAAAATTAATCTTTGCAATGCAGAGGAAACACAGAAGCTGCATTAGAAGGGGCATTTAGATGCATTTACACACTGTTTAATGCAGGACATGAATGTTTTAACCTGCAGTTACAAATGCATTCATACTTTTTTGATATTTACAAACTAAAAACAGTCAATTGTGTCTAACGTAAGTGTATTAAATTCTTGTTTATTGAACTGCTGTATAAAGTCTTCGCATGATACTGATTAACTATATGAAATTATATAAATATATAGCCTGCATTTCTGCCCCCATATCTTGAATTTTGTGATCATTCTAAATTCATTTGAATAAACTGAATCATGCAGTGAAAGAACATGGACTGGTCTAACCTACTAGACTTCCTGCCTTAGCTAAACTTTAGCTAACTTACATGGTAGCTCTCATGAGTCATGGATGTTAGTAAGACAAATTAACTATATTTTGTCTTTTGGATAATTAGCTGTAAATTCGAGGCACAGGTAGCTTAGTCTATTGTTCATCACCACTCACCTCCACACCAAGACAAACACAACTGGAAAGGGAGGGAGGGCTTTACTTCTGCGGCTCTCTGTCTGTGACTGTGATGTGATGATGATCAATTTGTGCTACACAGCTGTGCTGCGCGGAGACACAGAGGGAGAAAGGCATCGGAACTCGACAGAGTCTCATTTCCCAACCCGACCCGACCTGATATTTAGATTTTTTAAAATTTGTTTGACAGGGAGAGCTGTGCACAAACAGAAACACACACGCACACGTATATATATATATTAATTTATAAAAAAAAAATATTCCCCAGAAAAAAAGGGCACTTTCTCTCGAGGAAGAAAAAGGGCAGGTGCTCAAGCTCCCTTTGATGTTTTATGTGTGCACGTGCCTGATCTGACCATAGAAGAAAGTTTATGGTCATGCCCATTTTAGCGCTCTATGTGGCAACACTAAGAATGAAATCTATACTTATACTTATGAATTTTGTTCTGACAGGTTTCTAAATGTAACAACATGTGGAATGTTGGAACAGGTGGATGCTTCCTTAGTCACTTGGATCCATGATTATCTGACGGGCAGGCCTCAGTTTGTGAGATTACAGGGATGTGTGTCTGATCGGGGCCCCTCAGGGAACTGTGCTATCTCCCTTCCTGTTTACAATTTACACTGCAGACTTTAGGTACAGTTCTGAGTTATGTCATCTGCAAAAATTCTCAGATGACAGCTATTGTAAGCTGTGTAGAGGAACGGCAGGAGGAGGAGTACAGAGATCTCGTTGACCGTTTTGTGAAGTGGTGTGGGGAAAATCACTTGCAGTTAAATGTGGCGAAAACAAAATAAATCGTGGTAGACTTCAGCAGGAATAAGACCCCACCCTCTCCCATCTGTATTGGGGGGATTAATGTGGAACTTGTGAAATCATACAAATACTTGGGAGTCGAGTTGGACAAGAAGTTGGAGTGGTCTACAAATATGGAGGCTGTCTACAAGAAGGGCCTGAGTCGGTTATATTTCTTGAGGAAGCTCAGGTCTCTCAACGTGTGCAACAGGATATTCAAGATCAGACTATTGTAGCGAGTACTATCTTCTTTGCTGTGGTGCGTTGGGGCGCGGGAATCAAAGCAAAGGATGTCAACAGACTAAATAAACTCATCAAAAAGGCTGCGTCTGTCATCGGCTCTAAGCTTGGTACTCTAGAGGAAGTGGTCAGGGACAGAATGCTGGCAAAGTTGCTGGCAATTATGGATAATGATGCTCATCCCCTTCATAAAACACTGGATAAATTTAAGAGTATCTTTAGCAACAGGCTTATTCAGTCTCGTTGCTTGAAGGAACGATATAGGAAATCATTTCTGCCTAGTGCTATTAGAGTGTATTACTTATCTATCTAGGACAGAACTGTGTTAGTTAAAGGGTATTGTAGTCACATGTATTCTAAGTGTTTATTGATTGTATTGAGCTGCCATGACAATCTAATTTCCCCTCGGGGTTCAATAAAGTACATCTAATCTAATCTTGCATTTTAGAAGAGTTTGAATTTACATTAGAATATGTTTCAAGGTCTTAAAAATCAAGACTCTAATTAGAACCAAAAATGGTTCTACAGGATGATGTCATAATAGAACTTTTTAGTTTCCACAAAGAATGTTTTTATTCTTTGTTTCCTTAGAAAATCATCTATTTATTGGTGGTTTAAAGAACCCAACCTCAATACACTGATCTGAAGAACCTATTTTTTGAAACATCAAGAACCAAAAATTTGCTAAAAATTTACAAAATTTGAGAAATTTAGCATTCAGATTTGGAGAAATATAGCATTACATCACTTGCTCACCAATGGATCCCCTGCAGTGAATGGATGAGCGTCCAAACAGCTGATAAAAACATCACAATAATCCACAAGTAATCCAAGTTTTTATCAGCTGTTTGGACTCTCATTCTGACGGCACCCATTCACTGCACAGGTGAGC